GAAGCTAGAGCTTAGAATGGGGGCCTCATGACTCTGCCTGGTGCCCTGTCCTGTTATGGCTGAGCTGGTTTCCAAGATGCAAGACCAAATCCTCTTTACCCTTCTCTCTCCTCAAGCAGAAGGAACAAGTCACTTGCTTTGCTGCAAGCTGTGATGCCTGGGGTTATTGAGGTGGGGTAACACAAGCCCTCTCTTAGCCACCCTGGGTGATGTCTCACTAGGTCATGTGCTGCCCTAGTCCACTGGCTCTAAGCCTAGCCAAGCACTAGGATCTGCTTAGGAAGAATTGCAGTCTTTGTGTCCTAGACTGCCTTTCAAGTTTACCTAGAACCCCAGAGCATGTTAGCCCACGGTGGCAAGGCTTGCTGAGAAACTCAAGTTCAGACTGCTGGAATGGGCAATTCCTTTCTGGCTAGGACTGATCCAAATGTTCCCTTCCTGGGTGGACAATGGCTGAGCCCAGCACAGGTTGGCTCCCTGCTGTGATGGGGTTGCACTGAATTCAATGCCAAGTCCCCCACTTGCTGTGCTTTCCCTCTCCCATGAGCACAGATTCTCTGTGGTACATAACCACTGCTGGAGAGTAGGGGAGGAGTGGTGTTGGTGATTCAAGACTGTCTTTCCTATCCTCTTGAGTGCCTCTTTCAGTGAGAGGAAGTTAAAACCAGGTACTGTGATTGCTTACCTGATTGTTAGTTCTTATGATGGTGCTTTTTTATGTGTAGGTAGTTGTTAAAATTTGGTGTACCTGCACAGGGGGATAATCGGTGGAGGCTTCTATTCAGCCATCTTGCTCCACCTCAGAACTGTTATATTTTCCTATTTGAGAATGAGGCTTCATGTTTGCATAAAGAAAAAATTTAAGTGTATAATTTTTACTTAAAGTAATTTCCATGTTGTATTTCCAGGTTAAAAAGTGAAACTGTAGGGTACTACAACCATGGATAATTCAGCAGTCCATGTTTACTAAATGTTTATTAAATGCTAGATATGTCACAGGCCATGTGCACAGTGCTGAGAGTACTGTGGTGAACATACAAGTCAAGGCCCAGCCCTCTGTCTGTCTCACGTATGAGATGTAAGTCCGTCTGTGACTCAGTCCAATGTGGTGGCTCCACTTTTCAACTCTGACCTCCGTTAGTCTTGCCACATGTTGCTGGAACCAGAACAGAGGCCCTGAGGCATTTAGGCAGATAACAGACAGTGTTCAGAGAAACGGGGAGGGAGAGCAGGCATTTGGCAGTCTATGTTAAGGAAAGCAAAACCTCCCTTGCAATACAATCAATAGACTTTAACATTAAAATAAACTTGGAGCAATTGCAAACATAGTGACAGAATTGCCTGCTTTGATACAAAGCAGTTGATGCGTCCCAGCTATAAAGGCACTGTATAAAGAGAATGTTGGGTTAGACCAACTGGAGAGGATCAGCAGAGCCAGAACAGTAGGGGGAAACCATCTGAAGACAGTTTTCCTATTCACGTTGATTAAATTCATCAATACCTGATAAGAGAAGACTGGACATTCATATCAGAACTCACTGTACACAAAAATAATTACAAATGGTTTTCCATATGTAATTATTCTCAAGTAAATCATAGAGTAATCTGTATATGTTCTCATTTCACAGTACAAACTGGATCGTTTTGTGTCCCTTTTTTGTCATTAAAAGCCATGTATTAAAGATCCACCAGGATGAGATCTTTGCAGGCAGGGACTATAATTTATCATGCTTACTGCTATATCCCCAGGACCTAGTACACGTCCTGTGCATAGACCATTGTTTGTGTTCTGGCTGCCTAGGCCTTTTGAGCACCCTTCTCTGTTTAGGAAATGTCTCACCTTATCAATACTACCTCTCTAAAGTAAAACCAGAAAACACATTTACCCAGCTTTCCTTGCGGCTAAAAGCATGCAGCCTAGGCTTCACCAACCAGATGCACCCACAAGACACTTCATTCAGAAGTGAACAACACAAGGAAGCAGGCTTTACCCGAAATCTATTTTTTTCTGGAAAGAGTGACAACTGAAGCATCAGGCTTTCTCCTCCAGGAAGCTGTCCCTGAACATTCCCCAGTCATCTCCAGATGGACTGGGTTAGATATCCTTTAGTTCTACTTTTTCATTGCACTTTCCCATTTGTATTATAACTATTAGCATATTTTATTACCTTCTAATCATCTGTAATAGTTAAGGCAATACTAGCTGCTCTAATCAACAAACCGAAAATATGTGGTGAATCAAACACAATAGAAGTTCCTTAAAGAACTAAAAGTAGATCTACCATTTGATCCAGCAATCCCACTCCTGGGTATCTACCCAGAGGGAGGTGTCATTATATGAAAAAGATACTTGCACACACATGTTTATACCAGCATAATTTGCAACTGCAAAAACATGGAACCAGCCCAAATGCCCATCAATGACTGGATAAAGAAAATGTGGTATATATATATACATCATGGAATACTACTCAGCCATAAAAAGGAACAAAATAATGGCATTCACAGCAACCTGGATGGAATTGGAGACCATTATTCTAAGTGAAGTAACTCAGGAATGGAAAACCAAACATCATATGTTCTCACTCATAAGTGGGAGCTAAGCTATGAGGACACAAAGGCATAAGAGTGACACAGTGGACTCTGGGGACTTGGGGGAAAGTGTGGGTGGGGGGTGAGGGATAAAAGACTACACATTGGGCACAGCGTACACTGCTCGGGTGATGGGTGCACCAAAATCTTAGAAATCACCGCTAAGTAACTTGTTCATGTAACCAGACACCACCTCTTCCCCCAGAATCTATGAAATAAAAAACATGTACAAAAAAAAAAGTTTCTTTTCTAATCACACTAGGTCAAAATAGGGTACTTAGCATGAGCAGACAGCTCTTCTACAAGTGATGGTTCTGGAATCCAGGCATCTTGCATCTACCTTGTGGCTCCACCATCTATCTGTACCACATGGCTTCCAAGGGTACCATTCCCACCTGAACCAGGCCAGAAGGCAAAGGGCATGGAGAATCACACACTGCGGGGCTTTATAAGCAAGGCCCAGCAGTGATACTTATCATTTCTGTTCATATTTTATTGCCTAGAACTCAACTTCATTGCTATCCCTAACTGGAAAATACCCCCTAGCTTCCTTTAGGTAAGAGTACATCCTCCTCTTCTCCGAGAAAACACGAAGTGGCGGATGACGCCGGTGCAGCGGGGGGGCGGGGAGGGGGAGAGGTCCCGGAGGCCCTGGTGGCCCTGGGATGGGGAACCGCGGTGGCTTCCGCAGAGGTTTCAGCAGAGGCATCCGGGGCCGGGGTCGCGGCTGTGAACGGGGCCCGGCCGAGGCCGCGGAGCTCGAGGAGGCAAGGCCGAGGATAAGGAGTGGATGCCCGTCACCGAGCTGGGCAGCTTGGTCAAGGACATGAAGATCAAGTCCCTGGAGGAGATCTACCTGTTCTCTCTGCCCATTAAGGAATCTGAGATCATTGACTTTTTCTCGGGGGCCTCTCTCAAAGACGAGGTTTTGAAGATTATGCCGGTGCAGAAGCAGACCCGTGCTGGCCAGCGCACCAGGTTCAAGGCGTTTGTTGCTATCGGGGACTACAATGGCCACGTTGGCCTGGGTGTTAAGTGCTCCAAGGAGGTGGCCACCGCCATCCGTGGGGCCATCATCCTGGCCAAACTCTCCATTGTCCCGGTGCGCAGAGGCTACTGGGGGAACAAGATCGGCAAGCCCCACGCCGTCCCTTGCAAGGTGACAGGCCGCTGCGGCTCTGTGCTGGTGCGCCTCATCCCTGCACCCAGGGGCACTGGCATCGTCTCAGCACCTGTGCCCAAGAAGCTGCTCATGATGGTTGGTATTGATGACTGCTACACCTCAGCCCGGGGCTGCACTGCCACCCTGGGCAACTTCGCCAAGGCCACCTTTGATGCCATCTCTAAGACCTACAGCTACCTGACCCCTGACCTCTGGAAGGAGACTGTGTTTACCAAGTCTCCCTATCAGGAATTCACTGACCACCTTGTCAAGACCCACACCAGTCTCTGTGCAGTGGACCCAGGCTCCAGCTGTGGCTACAACATAGGGTTTTTATACAAGAAAAATAAAGTGAATGAAGCCTGTTACAAAAAAAAAAAGAGTACATCAACAGTAGAAAGTCATGATACTGTCAGTCGCAGTGGCTCGCGCCTGTAATCCCAGCATTTTGGGAGACCAAAGCAGGAGGATTGCTTGAACCCAGGAGTTCGAGATCAGCCTAGGCAACGTAGTGTAGAAATGAGGTCTACAAAAAAAATTTTTTTTTAATGAGGCAGGAGGATCACTGGAGCCCAGGTGGTTGAGGCTACAATGAGCTGTGATCATGACACTGCACTCCCACCTGGGTGGCAGAACAAGACCCTGCCTCGGGAAGGGAAGGGGAGGGAAGGAGAGGGGAGGGGAGGGGAGGGGAGGGGGAGAAAGAAAGAAAAAGAGAAGGAAAGGAAGAAAGAAAGAGAGAGAGAAAGAAAGAAAAGAAAGAAAAGAGAGAGAGAGGGAGGGAGGGAGGAAGGAAAGAAAAGAGAAGAAAAAGACAGTCATGATAAAGTGCCATATCTTAACTTTCTGTCATTTTTCTTGCTTCCTTCTTCCTCAGTTTGGAGAAAGAATGACCAGTGCTAAGGCTAATATAATAGCCCTGTGCAAATCACAGATGTGACTCTGATCTGGATTCCCTTTACTTGGCTCTCCAGTGCTTTTTTTTTTTTGCTAAGCATTTCTGTTTAGGGGGCACATATTCACGGGATAGTTATTTTTGAATGCTTTGCCTGAAATTGCTTTTATCTCCAGACTCCCCATGTGTCAGTTTGAAAGGGAACACGCTTAGCATGCAGCCTGGGCACCACATGTGTTCCGAGATGCTGGCACATGGAAGGCTTAGGAGGTTCCAAATCATTGCCTATTGGCCACCCACAGGCTAATGAAGGAAATGTCTTTTCATTTTCTCTGCTTCTCTCGGGCTTAGGTGCCTTATCAGCAGCCAGGGAGAGCTGGGAATACGACTCTGGTGCCAGGGACCTCCAGAGCCCGGATGTGCAGAGCCAGTCAGCCCTCCAGAAGCTGCTCGAGTATGGCGGAAGCTCTTTGCATCAGCAGACTGCTCTCCACAAACTGCTCACGCAGTCCCCGCACGTTGGCAACTCTGTAGGAGGAAGCTATCTCGAGCTGGCCAACACGGTGAGTACTTTTTGGTTCATGGAACACGTATTTCGGCCTGTCTGTATTCCAATACAAATATTTTAATTTTGTGCTCCAGGGGACATATCGGGTATTGTCTTCTTTATTGCGGTAAATATTGTACCATTTTCAGCATTGCCAGTAATGTTTAGTATTCCAAAGTTGCCAGCACTTAGGGACTTTACTTCCGTTGAGACCAGAGTAGACTCCTAAAAGGTGTTTTAATTAAGGCTATAACTTGCACAAGTTTAATTACTAGAAGATGCACACAGCTCTTCCATAAGTAGACTACTTCTATGGTTCTAGACATTACAAATTAATAGTACATACTTGCTTCTGTTCCCTAATTTGGACTTTATTCATTTCAAAAACAAAAAGGAAAATGTTGCATTGAAGGTTTCTTGTTTCTGGTTATACTTTAAGAGTATTTTCTGTTGAAAACTGTGGGACAACTTATAATGTCATTGTGTGTAATTTACCTTCCTTTTTCCTTCAAGGTGAGTCACTACAAAGCGACCTTTGGGCAAAGAGCTATTGTCTTCTTTTGTAAGTCAGGGCTGCCAAACGAGTCGGGTGGCTGATGGCCTGGCCATTTTGGGTGACATGCAGACAGTACAAATAGAGATTGCTATCCAGTCACTGTGGGAAAGCTCTAAAAGCCTACCTGGCTTTTTGAAACTGAAGTTCGAATGGTAGACTAAGCATCTCAATAACTTTGACTTATGCATATTTACAGTCTGCTTTGATGTAGACCAGTGGTTTTCAGACTCTTTGTGTTTGAGGCACACTTTCTAATTCTTACACTTTTGGTGGGATGTTTGAAGGAACTAGCAATTGTAAATATGACAACAATAATTAAAATACAATCATCAGAAAAATCCCAGTTAAATGACATTCTACAAAATACGTAACCAAAACTCCTCAAAAGTGTCAAGGTTATCAAAAACAAGGAAAATCTGAGAAAGAGAAACTGTCCAGCTAAGAGAAGCCTAAGAAAATATGACAACTAAAATGTAATGCATACCCTCAATGGGATCCTGGACCAGAAAAAAAGGACATTAGAGTAAAACACATATGCAAACACACACACACACACACACACACACACACACACACACACACACACGCGAAGCCTAAAGTATGGACCTTAGTTGATAATAGTGTATCAACATCCATTCATTAATTGTGACTAATAGACTAATATACCATAATAATGTAAGATGTTAATAAGTAGGAAAAATTATTTGTGGGGTATATAATTACTCTCTCTCCTATCTTTGCAAATTTTGTCTAAAACTTTTTTTTTTTTTTTCGAGACGGAGTTTTGCTCTTGTTGCCCGGGCTGGAGTGCAATGGCGCGATCTTGGCTCACTGCAACCTCTGTCTCCAGGGTTCAAGCAATTCTCCTGTCTCAGCCTCCCAAGCAGTTGGGATTACAGATACCCGCCACCATGCCTGGCTAATTTTTGTATTTATTTACTTTTTTTTAGTAGTGACAGGGTTTCACCATATTGGCCAGGCTGGTCTCGAACTCCTGACCTCAAGTGATCCACCCGCCTTAGCCTAAAACTATTATAAAATAAAAAATATATTAAAAACATATAAACATGCACAATCACTGCTAGGGTATGATAATGTCTCATAAAAATCTGTAAAAACATTCATAGTTATTGCACTGCTTGTTACTTGGCCACACTTCAAGGACATTCTTGCACAGTTTGAGTAGAACTCTAACTATCCTAATCTTGCCCTCCTATGTGCTCAGGAGATTAGGCAATTATCAGTGAATATGTCATCTTTCTCTGGCATAGGCCTGGACTTAGGCTGTGCCTGCTTCAAATAATTTGCAGCAAGTTGAACCCTCCTCTGTACTACATCAGCTCAGCCTTTTCTCAAGACAGACATTGCCATGACAGGATGGTTATAGCAGAAATCAGTGTTACACAGAGATCAAAATTTGATGGTACCTTCTCTGGAGGGTTCCAGGTTCATGGCCCACCAGTTTGCTGCAGCAAACCTACTATTGAAAACTGTGGGAGTTGGCTGTTTCCTGTCTCTGTGTAACTCTGTGGTTCCCAGCTTCTCCAGTAACCTCCTGGACTGATTTCTAAGTTCTGTCTCTCCTAATTGGAGGCCAGCTCAGTCTTTGGGGTTCCCATAGCCAGGTTCTCTGAGTTGGCTCTTCAGGGGAGTCAAGGCACAGAGAACTCTCACATATCCAACAGTCATATACATACCCTCTTCTTACTTTACTGGTTAAGCTTTAGAAATGAGGAAACACTGCCTAACATTTCCTCTGCATACTCACTTAAGGCAATCCCTTGGCAAGAACTGAACCATAAATGCAAATACAGGCACTGAAGTCCTATGACTGTGATTACACTATTTATTTCCTTACCAAATGGAAAAGTAAAACTTTAAAAATACCATTTGAATTTATAGACCCATTATTAATGCCCTTGGACACTGTGGTAGAGTACATTTTGGGCCTCAGTTCTTCATCCTCTCCTGTGTCTTCACCATTTATCATGCAACCCTAGAGTCCTTCTATCAGACATGTGAGAGTGAAATATGATGGTTGTTTTAACCATTGCATTTGCGGTGGTTTGTTTCATAGCCATAGTGACTCAGGGTCTTCTCAGGTGGGTCTGTAGAGCCTGATTTGAGAAATACCCTTCCCAGGTGGACAAAGAAAGCAAATAGTCTCTCTAAACTGCATATTTGGGCAATCCCTTTATTTATATAATCACATTAAAAGTAATTTATGTCCCTTCTAAGGAAAAATCTTGAACTAATAAAATTAAGTTTTATTTTTTTTTCTTTTAAATAGCTACTAAGAGCAAAAGGCATTTTATCGGTGTCTAGTTAGGAGACAGAAAGCACACAGTAATTCACACAGGGAAAGTTGAATATAAATGATTATTAACTAGTAGCAGAGGATTACCTACTAAGGGTAAAGAAAACCATAATGAACACAGGAATAGTATATACAAAGAATAGCCACTACCCCTAAGGCTGTTGCCAAGGAAGGAATGTCAAAGAAGGAACAAATTTGGAAGAGGGCCCTCCCCTCACCCAGGGCTGATTCTGACCCCTTTGAAAGGAAGTCTGCAGCCCACTGACTTGCAGAGAATTTCCCTGAGATGTTGCAGGCCAGGGCTGGCAAGCAGGAAACCAAACTTCTGAACCTTTGGTCCAGCCTCCTGGGGCATCTGCAAGACTCATCAGGTATCACTGAGTTGTCCACTGAGATGCCAGAGGGATTCACTGGGAAGCTGCCTGCTGGAGTGGTGTCAAACCCACTGAAAAGTCCCCCAAATAGTGCCACTAAAACTTAATAGGGTGAGTCACTAGATGTCCTATGCTGCGGGCCCCTACCCACCACAAGAGCTAGCAAAGAGCACAGCAGATTCAAGCCACAGGAGTCAAGCTGAGTGTCCTCCAGTGTCTCTCCAGCACCCTCTATTGACAAAGGAGAAATGTTTACGTGGTCCAGCTCCAAGACCACAAAACAGGACAAAGAAAGCTGGATTTGGAGATGAGAAGCAACAAATGATAACTAGGCAAAGACATTTTTAGCATTGAGGATTTCCTGGGAGATTCCTACATAAGCTTTTTACCTTTCTAAGCATCTCTTCCTTTTCTTGTACCACCAATCACCATTCTACCTAAGACAGTGGATACCATGAGGCTTAACATACTGTTCACAATGCAAAGGCAACAAGACAGTGTTGTACACAGATACTTACAGCAGCCATGGTTTTATCGAAGAAGCAAAATGGCCACACATTATACAGAATAAGAGATTTATTATCGTAAGGGCTAGACCTTACTCAAATGTGAGAGCTGGTGATACAATCTATGAAGACTATTGGTTCTGTATCTAGTGTTGAGCTTGAAGTTACTATAGGTTTATCAGATCAGCTGTTAAGAGGGAAAGCTGGATGTATAGGGGAGTAGGGACAAACCAGAACTCATGAAGACCAATGGGACCATTGAGGACAAACTGGAAACCTCTTCTGTGTCTTACTATGTCCAACCTTGATGCTGTGGGGGACCTGCAGCAGAAACTGGCACTCTGTCTCCTGCAGTGTGTCTCCTGCACACACACTTGGCCCAGGACTCAGAGAAGCTGAAGGAAGAGATTTAGTGAATTAAAATTACTGCAAGCCTGGTACACCAAGTAGTTAAGCAGCAGATTAGCAATAATGTGTGCAAGTGGACAAGGTGCATAGTGCCTGCTATGGTTTGTTTTCCCCTCCAAAATTCATGTGGGAATTTAGTTGCCGTTATAACAGTATTAAGAGATGGGACAATTAAGAGGTGATTAGGCCATGATGGCTCCACCCCCATGGGTGGGGTTAGTGCCATTTTAAAAGGACCAGTTCCATTCTCTCTCTCTCTCTCTCTGTTTCCCACTACGTCTCTCTCTGTCTCTTTTTCTCTCACCTTCTTCTTGCCCTTGCACTCTTTCACCATGTGATAACACAATAAGAAGTCACCTGACAGATGCCAGCGCCTTGATATTGGGCTTCCCAGCCTCCAGAACTATAAGCCAATAAATTTCTATTCATTATAAATTACCTGGTTTCAGATATTCTGTGATAGCAGCACAAAACAGACTAAGACAGTACCCTGCACCAAGTTTCAGAGCATAAAAAGTATGACTTCTTTACATCTTCCTTCTGGATTTCACACAGAATGTCTCTCATGGCCATACAGAACCATACAGGAAAGAGAACTCTGGGGAATATGGTTCCAGCTTAGCTGAATTTAGTACCAAGTCACCACAAAGCAGCAGCAAAACTCAGTGTAATGTAAGCCCATAAAACTATGGGTAAAGCAATATGAGATATTTTAAGAGTTTGGTAAAGAAGGGATGCAGTGGGAAAGATATATTGCCTGTCTCCTGATAGATATTTTTCTACCAAGATTTGTATTACCAGGAAAGAATGCTAGTATAAATTATAATGTTATGGATTCTGAGTAGTAACATATGT